AAGGATCATGGGCAGAGTTTCGGGCAGCCATATATAAACATTTCGACCCCATCAACTCCTCGTACATGGCACGGCAGCAAATTCATCGCCACCGACAATTCGGCAGTGTAGCACAGTACACACAGCAGATGGAAAAATTCTTCATCTGCATCGACGATTTGACTGAAGGCGAAAAGATCCAACCGTACACAGCGGGGCTAAAAAACGAAGTTCGTCGACAGGTAATTGCAACGAGCTATAGTAACTATTACGGGGTAGTTTACTGTTCAAGAGTAGTTTACCCTAAACAGTATCCCAACCTTATCCCAACCCTATCTTCATCCAATCCCTTTGGGATTTCCAAGGTTTCCAAGCCGCCATGTGGCACTCTAATTTTCTAGCATTCCAATTCCTTGTCCCACGAACTACTTTCCAACATTCGCTCTTGCATGCTATTTTAACCTTGCTTGTATTCGGCAATATCAACCAATTTTCATTCAATTATTCAGTAAATTTTCGCCTATTTTGCCAACAATTCTCTCGCCAAAGTCTTCCGCCGCATTTTATCCTCGACTTAGTCAACCCCGCTATTTGTTAGCGGATTTAGGCCAGCGGGCCTAACTCTCAGTATCAAGAGCCTTCGCGGGGAGCGACTTCCAACGAGCGACCGTCGACGACGAGACTATGCCGTCATCGTCTCGTAGTGCCGACTTGCAGACTTGGAGTCGTCGAGCGAACATGGACGAAACCATGCACGCTCTCCCCCACGACATGGGCAACACGCTTGCCGAGCTCATGCGTCATCTCAAAGAATTGACGTTGAAAAATTGTGAGGTACGAGCGGAAATGTAACAGCTTCGCAATTTGGCTTCTAACCCCCATGGTCATGCCGCACCATCTTCTGCACCGAACACGTTGACTAGCGCGGAAGTGCTGCCGGACCGTCAAAGCGTGCTCAAGCCGCAGAAGCCCGAGTCGTTCGACCCAAGTCAACGCGACGCGAACGTGCGGACGTGGCTCTTCATGCTCAACAACTATTTCGCCGAGAACGAGGTGCAAGAGGCGGACGCGCAGCAATGGATCGAGCATCAGCAGGGCGTGGGGAATGCAGCAGCAACTTTGAGCTTTTCTAGTCTAGCTTTGGATTTTACCATGGTTCCGACGACATGGGAAGGATTTCAAGCGCTATGAGAAGTCGGTTCGACTTGGTGAACACATCCGAAGCTGCTAGGAAGCGTCTGCGTCATTTCCGACAGATAGGAAACGTCCAGAAGTACATACGACAACTCGAGCATACTGCCGCATCAACGTCGATGAGCAAGGACACATTCCACCTCATACTCTGCTTCATCCCGTACGGGAACAAGTGGTGGTGGCGGTAGCTGTCGTCCCTGGAACTGTTGGTTGGGGTCCTTGTAGGGCTTCAGTAGTTGAACATGGAATGCGTTGCCGTCCACGGACGTCGCCATGCAAGCTGCCTGCGGTCGCCGACGACCGCAGCCCTCGCGCTTGCTCCACGCCGACTTCGACGTCGGCGGCCCTGATCACTCCTCTCTTCTTCATGCATTCGTTGTCACCGACTTGGGCACCGCCGTCAACCTCCTCGTCGACGTCGCCTTCCGTTTCGCATGTGGGCGAGGTGTTTCGCCACCCAATGCGCGTGTGTGAGAGTACGACGGCTTATGCTGGCTTTGCTAGCTTGCCTGGACTTTATTATGTTATTACTAGCTTAGCTTTATTTTATCTTGCATGCTTTTGCTTGATTTCCTAGATTCGTTGCCTTTACTATAGTTATTATAGTTGTAGGCACCGAACTAGGTTGAGTGCACCGAATTCTAGGCTTTTCGGTTGCCACCGAATTGCCTTCTACCGAATTCGGGAAGGACCCGTTCGGGACGCTTCGCGACCCGCGGAACCTTCTAGTCACACCCGGGTTACTGCCTTTGTGTCGAGCCTATATATAGCCTCGTCTTGTACCCAGGTGAATCATTCAATAGAATCATCTTTCCTGAACCAGATCCTCACACTTGGTAATCAGAGCGGGTTTACACGCGAGGTCTTCAACCGCGTAGTTCCGGCCTTTAAAAACCGCGGGGGCGACGACGAAGGCGCCGATACGGGTATGTAAAACCAGTTCCGCGCAATTTTTCTAAGTCCCCCTCGATTCGGTTTTCGAACACCCCTCAGATTTTCTGGTGGAAAGGTTGGAGTTTCGACCGTTCGATCGAGTTTCATCTCAACGGCCCAGCACAGCTTTGGAGCTACCAATGTCATACAATTTCTTGCCTGATGGTGTTTTTTATTATACCGAAAAATCCGCATTGGCCAGAGCTTTAAGAGGATACATTTTTAGTGTTCACACATGGAACATTGTGACCTCTTATCTGGTTCCAGGGATTCACGGGACAAACACCAAGGGCCTGACAGCGGTTTCATCATGGCAGCATTGGAAGCTTACACTGGTTCAGGATTGGCTACGAGAACCAGATCCTCCAGATTACGGCATATCGGCCTGGTTCTTGGTTTCGACAGCAAGAGAGGTTCAGCCTACAATAAACGGCATTGGCAGAAGCTGCTTCAGCAGAGGCCTGTTTGTTTCTAAGGTGCTAAAAAGCTATCAGGCATCAGGCACTCTTTGCCTGTCAACACGCTCTCATCATTGCACGATGGCCAATGGTCGTGGTCGCAAACCTGGAGGGAAGCAAGGAGGGAAGACAGTCCTCCCTGGTGATGCTACTGGAGAAGTTCCTGAAGGAGTTACTCCTCCGACTACTGCGGACAACATCCCGCTGACCAAGAGTCCGCTGGTCTCCGCTTCTACATCTCCGCTGTCACTTCAAACGTCGTCGCTGGATGACGCGACGCGTACGACGCTGACCGAACGCCTTTCTACACTCAAAGAGAATGGTCCGAAGGACAACAGGACGGAAGGAAGCAAAACTGATCCTCCTCTGCCTTCTTCTTTGCGTCCAGCTCCTTCGTCTTCCATGGTCCCTGATCCGCCGGCGGCTCCTGACGTAAACAAGGGGATGGACACCAAGGAGGTTGTGGACGATGAGTGGTGGGACAGTGACTCCGACGACGAGTTTGACCCGGTTGCTGTCAGCCTGCTTTCTGCTGAGATTAGTTTTCCGATCACGCTACTAATCCCTGCTGACTATCTCAGTAAAGTCCCGAAGACCAAGGCCACGGTCATTGCTCACCTTGATTTCTGGAAGGCCTCACTGTCAGCTGACGTGTTGAAGACGACGCAATATCAGGTCCTGTCGGCGGCTTGGTTATCCAAGAAGAGATACGGCCGGCTGTAGGTCACTTTCAAGTCTGCTCGTGATGCAGAGTTTGTCTGGATGCGGTCGTTCGAGCATGACCTGGGGAAGGGCAAGTCGCTCACCTTGGACTGGCAGCACCCGGAGAATGCGGCTTACAAGAGGGAACGCCATCTACACCCGGAGGCACTTGAGGTGGTTCTGAAGATGGTGCCGGCAAGCGTCTCGCCGGAGCTAATTCGCAAGATGCTCGTTGAGATTCAACTGCTGAGGAAGGGGAGGAGTGCTTTTTATGCTGGATTTGTTTTCACAGGGTTCAAGACACTGTCACAGGCATGGATACTGACAAAGTTAAGGGCCTGGTGGTTCCGCATGCGGGTGACACAGATCCATGGAGGCATGCTATTACGGACCCTTCGGACAACACCAGGAAGCTGATGGTGCAGTACCCGTCACTTTCGTGCGATCTCTGCAACGGCCATCACAAGACAATGTTTTACAACGCCTATGTTACGGAGCACCAAGGAAACATCGGCAAATGGAACCTTACCGTCAGGAAGGTCCATGAGATCAATGGTATCAGTGGGGAGCCGACCCCCATCTCGTCTTTTCCTCTGCTTTCGCTTGCTTTCACTGTCTTTCTATCATCATATACTGACGCCGCACTGTCCTCTCTACCTCGCAGCGGCCTCACTGAAAGCAACTGCTATGCTACGGGACATTCTCAAAGACCCTGCTATTGTACTCACCTCCACAGGGGGGTCGAGGGAGGATTGGGCCTGCGTCGTTGCGGCCTGCGAGAAAGCGCAAGGCTCCAGTTTCGAGCAGGCTGCGGCTCACGTCGCATCCCTTCGCCACAAGACCAATCTGACCAAGCCAGGAGCAGCCACGCGTGCCAGCAAGGGCGCGATCAGCCTGCCTGCCTTCCGCAAGGAGTTCTCCAAGGGTGCTGCACAGGGGTAAAGTCGGGGTGTGCAAAGATGATGAGGGTGAATAAGGTGCTGTCTGTGAAGGCGGTCCAGAGAGATCATGAGGCGGTCAGCAGCAGTACTGGTTGCGACGTGACATTAGCAGTTGTACCTTGGTGTGCTTGTTATGGTGTAACCTGTTTTCACACAGCCCGTGGATGCAAGGGGGCTTCCTCGTGGTTGATTAATGGATAAGAAACACTCCATCACATTCTGCGGGTTCAACATCAACGGACTCGGCAGTGAGGGGAAGAGAACTAAATACATAGATTGGCTGCGGAACAAAACGGACATTGCGATAATCACAGACACGAGGATTGATGCAGATCACAACTTTTGGACTCAGCTTAAGCCATCAGCAAAGTTGACGGTTGGTCCCGCGGAAACGGCCGGTGGTGTGGCGATCCTGAGTTTCATACCTGGAATGAATTTCAAGGAAACATTTGTGCACCCGTCAGGACGGCTACTAGGCGTAGTGGTGAAATGGGGAGATGTGGAGCTGCTCTTAGTGGCGATGTATTTGCCGGCGCAGCCTTGCAGCAGAGGCCCTTTTTACAGAGACTGTTTGGAGCCGTTCATCAGCTCACTGCCTGACTCGCAAAGTGTGCTTGTGATGGGAGATTTCAACGTGGTAGATGATCCGGAGTTGGACAAGACGACTAAGGCGGGCTCGGCTGCTGAAAATCAGAGGTTGCTGAGCTGCTGGCCGCGCACTCGCCTGAAGGACGCGTTTCGCTTCATGTACCCGGACAGGCGTGAGTACACCTTTCATTCCAAGGCAAAGAAGATGAGCACGAGGATAGATCGCGCGCTGATATCGCAGCCGTTGCAGTGTAAGCTGATCGATGTCTGGCACGAGGAGATAACCAACAACATGACGGACCAATGGTATGCGGTGGCGGTGTCACTGGAGTCGTCCACGGCGATTGCGCGTGGCCCGGGGATCTGGAGATTGAGAGGGAACGAGGCGAAGAAGGCGGGGGTCAGAAAGATCATCAAGAAGGTGCTTGATGAGGCGGCAGGGGACCTCATTGCCGCGCTACCTCGCTTGACGGTGTGTTTGAGGGCGTACGAGAGGCAGGAACGAAAAAGGGTGAAGGCGACGAGAGCACACCTGTCAAAAGAAGTGGAGATCTTCTGCTACCGCTTGATGGCAAACCCGCACTGTCAGCGCACAGTCTCCGTTCTGCTAAAAAAGGAAGAGCTGCTTCTGGCCTACGATAAGATCCACAAGGAGAAGTTGCAGATCTGGGCTGGCATGACGGCGGAGCTGGACGGGGAGGCGGCGACCGGTTACCTGTCGGGGAAAATTAAGATGCGGAAGGCAAAAACAGATATCAAAGAGGTTAGTCTAAAAGGAGTCAGCTATACTGGAGCAAGAGAAGTACTTGGCGCGGCTACTAATTTCTTCCGGGAAGCTTTTGGGGCAGCCGCCCTGGAGGATTCGGGTGACGTCGGGCGAAAACCCATGGAGCGGAAGCTGGGAGACAGCAGCAAGGAGGCGCTCAGCGCGCCATGGACAGAAGAGGAAGTGCGTAAGGCAGTGAAGGAGTTATCGTCGGGGAAGTCGCCGGGGCTTGACGGGCTCCCAAAGGAACTTTTTGAGCACAATTGGGATGTGCTCGGGCCGGCGCTGATGGGTTTTGTCCGGAATTTCGCGGAAACAGGGAAGCTGCTGAAGTCCATCAACACGGCGGTGACAATCCTCCTGCATAAGAAGGGGAGCAAGGACGACTTGGGGAATTACAGACCAATTACGTTGCTGAGCACAATCTATAAAGTGGTGGCGAAGGTGATGGCCAACAGACTTAAAAAGGTAATACACGAAGTGATATCGGAGGACCAGGCTGGATTTATACCTGGCAGGAAGCTGGCAGATGCGGTGGCGGTAGTGGCGGACGCCATTGAAGCAGGGGCCAGCGGCAGGGAAGACTGGCTGCTGCTCATGGTGGATTTCCAGAAAGCTTTCGACTCAATCTCGAGAAGCTTCCTCTTCCGCACCATGAGGAGCATGGGCTTCCCGGAGAACTTTATGTCCTGGACAGAGGGCCTGCACAGGGAAGCGGGCACGAGACTGCATGTAAATGGCTGGACAGGCGACGCGGTTGCAGTAAAAAAGGGGGTGAGGCAGGGCTGCCCGCTGGCGCCATACCTCTTTTTGTGCGCCGTGGAGCCGCTGTGCCAAGAAATTGCGAGGCGGGATTTGGGGATTGGAAAAGCAGAGCTGGGAAAGCTGGCGTACCTGGGGTATGCAGACGACACCTCCCTATTGCTGCAAGGGGAGGAACAGCTGGCGACAGCGACGGAAGTGCTCGAGAAATTCGGAGAGGAGTCTGGGCTGAAAGTCAATCGGAGCAAAACGGTGGTTTTCCCGCTGGGGAGTAACAGAGGCAACCAATCACCGCCGCATCTTCAGTACAAGTGGGCAGACAAGGGCGAGCCGGAGCGTCTGCTGGGTGTGTGGATCACACCAAACGGGGACCCGGAGCCATCCTGGGAGAGGGCACTGGACAGGGCAAGGACAGAGTTAGCAAGTTGGGAGTCGCAGCACCTGACAACCACAGCCAAAGTTACCATAATCAATGTATACATCACACCGATCTTCCTGTTTCAAGCGCAGATTTACCCGCCACCGGACGAAATCTAGACGAAGGTCAAGAGGATGTGCCACAGTTTCGTCTCAGGCGGGCAAATGACAGAGGGCAGAGGCTTCATCCTGTGGAACTATGAGCTGATGTGCACGCCGCGGAAGGATGGTGGGCTGGGGCTGATATGTCCAAAGAAGATGTTTGATAGTGTAGCGGCGCAGAACGTTGGGAGGTTGGTACTGCAGCCGAAGTCGGTGAAGGAGTGGCTGGCGCTGACGGCGGCGGAGTTGCCGCTGGGTCTGGACACGCTCTTCGCACACAAGTCCCTGCTAAAACACTGGGAAAAAGGGAGCAGGAGATGGAAGGAGGTGTTTCAAGTGTTTTGGGAAACCCCTTTCAGCAACCCGCCGGAGCCAAAGACAAGATGGGAAGTAGAGAAGGAGATGCTGGTTTTCAACCGGCGGATACCCTTCCGAGGAGCAAGTCCTTTCGGGAACCAACAAGGTTCAGCCTGCTTGTGGGAGATGCGGCTAAGTGATATGATTCGGGAAAAACTCAGCGGAGAACGGGTGCTAAAGAGCCAGGAAATGCTGGGGCTGGAGCTGGGAAGTGAAGATGCGGCGAAGTGGGCACTCAAGGCTTTCGATTCAGCCCCGCGAGAATGGAAGGAGCTTTTGCTGGCTGCTCCGGCGTGCGAAGCGGTGGCGGCGGTGGTACCCATGCTGCGAACTCGTGTACGGGAGGGCGCAACCCCCTCGTACTGGAAGGTGTGCGGGACATCGGGCTCCGAAGTCACGGGGAAACTTTGCCATGTCGACGGCGCGGGGAGGTACAGCGTGTGTGACGGGGAGAAGCTAACGGTCAGTTTTGACCCCCAGAGCAGCCGGATTGAGCCGATGGCAGCAGACGGAGAGATAATACTGGGGCCGATGGGTGAAGCAAGGACGAAACTGCTGCAAACACAGCTATGCAAAGAAGGCGCAGTAGCGCCACTCAAGGATGTTAGGAGGGTTCTGCAGAGCTCGGCTGGCCCGGCAAAAGGGCAGAGAAGATGGGAAGGGCATGGAGCGGTGATTGAGTGGGACAGAGTCATCAAGCAGAGGGACTCCATTGGCACACCTGCCCGGGCACGAGACGTTTTGTTACGGCTGCACTGCAGAAACTTGCAAGTGGGGACGAGAATACGGTTTCTGAACTGCAAGGTGGTTTGTCCACACTGCAAACGGGAGGAGTCACCGGAGCACTGCCTGCTCGGCTGCCCGGCGATACAAAAAGTGGTGAACTTCTTAAAGGACGGGCTGAGGGCGATGAATCCGGAGAAGAGTTGGGGTGACCTAGAAGACCTGCTGTTCATGCAGAGGAGCACGAGGTCGGGTTTTCCGGAGAGTTCCTTCATAGCCACCGCGTTTCACCAGATTTGGCTGGCGAGATGTGATGCGAGCATCCACAACATTCGGTTCCAGACAAAACGAGTGATGCGGCGAATTGTGGTGAATTTTGTCGCACACGCACGGGTGTACTGCTTGACACGGGAAGTTGCTGTAAGGAAGCAAGGAGTGGTGGTAAACAGTGCTGCGTGGGATCATCTGGAGGCAGACGAAGCAAGAGTCATGAAGAGGATTTGCACCAAGGCTGCACCGCTGACGTGGAGGGTTTGCTTCAGCTCCCTCTGGGACAACCCGAAGCTGACGCATCAACCACCATAGGTTGGGAAAGGGGACCTGTGGTACCAATAGCCACGGCCCTCCCCTTCTTACACAGTTACGACTGATGATGTTGTTACTACATTCCTGTAATGTATTATCACATCTTAAAAAAAAAATCTCAACGGCCCAGAGAATTTCGCCCCAAAAAGTTGGAATTTGGATTGTCGGATCGAGTTTCTTCTCAACGGCCGAGATCGAACGCGAATTTCGACTAAGGAAGATTTACGCGACTTACAGAATTTGTGCTCGTCGATTCTACAGTCAACTCGACTCGCAGTAAGTCGACCAGCACCCGAAATTCAATTATTTTCGTCGCGCTTCTTTCTGTAAATCGCCAAATGGAGGGAAAAAGAGATATTTCAGTACAGAAAATCGCGGAGTTACGTGCCGAGCATAAGCAGATACGTGCGGCGCTCCCACGACTCGAGAAACTCCTTGCAAACCAGTCGGCAACTGCCACAGCAGCGGCGACACCGACAATTCTACCTGCGACAACGGCAGCAGCTACAGTTAACCTCGAAGCAGTGAAGCTGAGGCTACCGGAGGCGTTCGATCCTATAGTTAAAGGGAACGACGTTCGTCGATTTGTAGCTGAACTCGAAATTTACTTCGAAGCCGTTGGATGCACGACCCCGACAGAAGACGCAATGCGCATACGGCTCGCAGCAACACTGTTACAAGGCCCAGCTCTAGAGTGGATTAGCAACAGAATAGTCCAAGGCGAAGGGACGTGGGCGCAGTTTCGGGCAGCACTGATCGAACAGTTCGACACGTTGAACAGTAGCTACTACGGAACACGACGCAACAAGCCAACTAGTGGCATGGGGCGATTGGCACCACCCACGACTGCTGAACCGATGGAGAACGACGAGGGCGATGTGGAGCAGCGGCTAGCAAAAACTGAGACGTACAAATTTTGCGGCGCTACAGGACATCGTATCTTGGCGTGTTGGGAAATGAAGGGAAGGCGTGCGGAGCTGAGATACAAGAACAGTGCGGCACCCTCGAAGCAGAAAACGGACAACGTGGCAACTTCGGAGTGGGGGAAAAAAGGAGAATATGATGGCGCGAGTTTAAAACGTCACGACCAGCCGGCACCAGGGGAAATCGCCGAGACAAATGGAGACTCCGCGAAACAAGACCCTGCACCGACTGGGAAACTCCAGCCGTACACCCCGACAAGTAAGAATATTACTTCTCGTGGGTTTCAAGCCTTTATTAAGGGAGAGTCAGAAATTAAACCGGTACCGGGTAATATGGGGACCCTACTCCGGAGCGCTAACAAGGGTCGAGCGTTCCGAGGAGTTAATATTCTCTCCCAGCAGCTCTGTTTAAAGGCTCCCTGTTCCCCACAGATGAAGCCTACACAGCTGCAAAGGCCTAGGGGAAGGTTCCAGGCTCAAGAGAAGTTGTACCAGCCTTGGATAAATCCTTCTAACCCTACTCAGGTGATACCTGATATTGAAGCTGCATCTTCGAGCGCAGGACCTAGGGATGACATATTCGACGTACCCTACGATCCTATAAGCGATACCATCTACGGCTACTCGGAGCAGCAACAGCCACTAGTACTCGAGGTGATCTGCAACGGGCGACGCCTCCAGACACTGGTGGACAGTGGTGCGTCCCACTCGTTGTGCGACTACAGGACGTTGGAGAAAATTGAAGAATCCTCAGAAGAGACCCAGTTTACAGCAACGATGGTGGATGGTACGAAGCTTCCCATCCACGGCGAGTCAACACTGCAGCTGCAGATAGGAGCGTTAAGGTTGAAGCCGACGTTGCCGATCACGAACATCAAGGGATTAGATTTCATCTTGGGGCGTGATTTTCTGAAGCAGTTCAACCCCGAGATCGACTGGGTCAACTGGAAGGCGTGTATCTACAACGACGGGAAACGTGTGGAGCTGCGAAGCTGGACGGATACAGGGGATGTTCCTGAGAATGTGAAGGAGTTGCAGCAGTTCCTAGGCTTCGCCAACTACTACAACAGGTTTGTGCCGCAATACGCTAAGATAGCAGCGCCACTGACCAACCTACTGAAAAAGGATACACCCTATAAATGGGATACTCCTCAACAGCAAGCCATGGAGCAACTACAGACAGCACTGACTACAGCGCCAGTACTCATCCTACCGAATCCAGACAGAGACTACGTGGTGGAAGCAGACGCTAGTGACCAAGCAGTCGGAGTAGTACTGATGCAGGATCACGGACGCGGTTTGCAGCCCATCGCCTATCTGAGTAAGAAGCTACACGGAGCAGAACTGAACTACCCTATCCATGACAAGGAAGCCTTAGCGATAGTCACAGCCTTCAAGGCGTGGAGGTGTTACCTAGAGGGAGCCAAGACTACAGTTTCCACTGACCACTACAGCCTCAAATACCTGAAGTCGCAGCCGACGCTCTCACGACGACAGGTGCGGTGGGTAGACTTCTTGGAGACCCACTTCCACTACGACATCGTCTACAAGCCCGGGCTACACAACAAAGCTGACGCGTTGAGCCGCCCTGGTCATGTAGCATAGGTACTCCGTGGACGGCGAGATCGCTACAGCAGAGAAACAGAAGTTGTTACAGTGGGAGAAGGACCTAGCTGTAAGAAAGGGATCAGGGAAGATCTAGGTACCGAACTATGCCCCGCTCCGACAGATCGTACAGGAGGAGTTTCACGATGTGGCATACGCGGGACATTTCGGGAGCAACAAGACGTTAGCGGGAATAGCAAAGTATTACTACTGGCCCCGGTTGGCAACAGACGTGCAGCAATTTGTCACTTCATGCGACACGTGCCAGCAGATGAAGAGTAGCAAGCAGAAAAAATCAGGGTTACTTCAGCCTCTACCCGTCCCGGAGCAGCCATGGCAAGTTGTCAGCCTAGACTTCATTACTGGGCTTTCTTCGACCTCACGAGGGCATGACGCCATCCTCGTAGTGATCGATAAGTTCTCTAAAATGGGACACTTCATCCCGACCAACGCCACGGCTACTGCTGAAGCAACTGCTCGCCTCTTCTTCGACCGCATCATCACCATCCACGGCATCCCCGCTACACTTATCTCGGACAGAGACCCTAAGTTCACTACTAAGTTCCGGAGGAAACTCATGGGATTGTTGGGGACAAAGCTTGCGATGTCTTCAGCGTACCACCCCCAGACTGACGGACAGACAGAGCGACTCAATCAGGTGGTTGAACAGTTACTGCACACAGCTTGCAAAGACGACGTCAGCCACTGGGATTCACAGTTACCGACACTTGAGTTCGCTTACAATAACGCGTCGCATGCGGCCACAGGGAAATCTCCATTCTTCCTGTGCTATGGACGGGAACCACCTACATTACAGCAGCCAAC